CCCCCCCCCCGCTCCCGCCATCCCTCCCTCCCTCTCTTCTGCCACACTGGGAATGGGGCCCTGGGCCTGTGTATGCTATGGGAGCCTACCACTGAAGTACAGCCCCACCCCACTATACCCCAACATACTATTCTAGCTATTAGGGAAGCTGACTTGGGCAACCTGGAGACCATGGCTGAAAGAGTACATGGCCATGCCGGACTGGTGGCGCATTTATGTGGGCTCCAGGGAGTGGACTCAGTTCACTAAACCTGTGCAGCAGAAAAATCCTGCCCAGGGGAAACAAAACAAAACAAACAATACCTTCTTTTGAAAAGGGCTGGGAAGCCAGGCGGTGGTGGCGCATGCCTTTAATCCCGGCAGAGGCAGACAGATCTCTGTGAGTTCGAGGCCAGCCTGGTCTACAGAGTGAGTTCCAGGACAGCCAGGGCTATACAGAGAAATCCTGTCTTGAAAAGTTTTTTTTTTTTTTTTTTAAAGTTTTTTTAAAAAAAAATGTCGGTGGGGAGGGGAGGCTGAGAAGTTAGCTGAGAAGTTAGCTCAGTCAGATATATGGCTTCTGCACTATCATAAGCACCTGAGTTCAAATCCCAGCACCCATGTAGAAAGCCCAGCGCAGTGGTGCATGCTGGTAATCCCAGAGCTGGGAGGGGGAGACAGGTGGATCCCCGGGGCTCGTTGGCCAGTCAGCCAACCCTAGTCACTGAGACCAGGTCCCAGTGAGAGATCGTGTCAAAAATCAAAAGGGCAGTGAGGATCCACACCTAAGGTTGGCCTCTAGCTTCCACATGTATACACACACACAAACATGCACACACTTGTGCATACCCCACATAGACAAATAATTCATTGAGATCATTTAAAAATAATTTAAAGTAAGAAAAAGTGGGAGTGATGAGTGAGGCCCAGGCAACAGAATCAGGAGTTCAAGGTCATCCTTGGGTAAGTCGGATGCCAGCACTGGCAACATGAGGCTGTCTCAGGAAGGGATAGAGAGAGAAAGAAAAAAGAGAAAAACTGGGTAGTTGGGGGGCTCAGGCAGGAGGATCAGTTGGGTGCAGGAGTTAGAGACCAGCCTGGGCAGCAAGTGAGACCCCCTTATTACACCAAACAGAACAAAAGTGGGCAACGCCGGGCGGCGCACGCCTTTAATCCCAGCACTCGGGAGGCAGAGGCAGGCGGATTTCTGTGAGTTCGAGGCCAGCCTGGTCTACAGAGTGAGTTCCAGGAAAGGCACCAAAACTACACAGAGAAACCATGTCTCGAAAAACCAAAAAAAAAAAAAAAGATACCTGACTTGGGCCTCTGCATACACGCACATGTACAGGCACACCAAACACACATGTGCACATACCACACACACACACACACACACACACACACACACACACACACACACATATATATATATATATATAACATATAACACATGCAATAAAATTAAATTAAGAATAGTATGTTGGGGGTGGGGCTGTATTTCAGTGGTAGGCTCCCATAGCATACACAGGCCTGTACCACCAGGACAGTTTAAACACACATAGTACAGAATTCTCTCTCCAGATCTCTTAAAGAGGAGGGGCAAAGCCATTGGAACCCCAGGCTGGAGTCTCTCAAGGACGACTTGCTCTCCTCTCCTGCTTCCCCTGCAGTGAATGTATGTGAGACAGGGCAAGTGTAGGACCCAAGGAGTCTTGTTCTGTCTTGTTCTCTCTTGTTCTGTCTTTTCTGACTTGGATACTGGGTCACAGGTGCACTCCT